TATCAAGTATTTGTTTTGAATAGTCCGTGTGCAAAATAATTTTCATGTTAAAATTAAAAATACTTTTCCTCATCTCAAAAATCTTGTATTTCCTTTGTGTAATCCCTAAAACCTTCTAAATGCATTTCAAACGTTTTTTTTTCAGTAAAACTTTATAATTTATCTCTTATTTTCTTTACCCTATCTAAACATGGAATCGATCAATTCAACTGACCTCGTAACCACCAAAAAAAATTTAAATAAATGTAAATTACCCTTATTTTCTTTGTAGAATGACTTCAAATTGTAACATGAAACTACATTCGTTTATCCCAAGTAGCTCTAAGTTCATAACAGTATATATCTTTTTATGATTAAATTTTATTGTTTTATTGCCCTTTGAACCATGTCTAACTACTATTCGTGTCATTATATGATGTAAATCACTCTGGAAACGTGCAGCTCACATTACGCTAACAAATTACATTACCCACGAGCTACTGTGAGCTGCTCGCATGTGTACCTTGTGAAACATTTTTACTATAATATTATTATTATTACTTATTTTACCTAATCTATTCTTAGATAACTTAAAAAGATTCATATTTTTAGATTTTAGTTACTTTTATAATAACAAGTAAAGAATAAGTACAATAAACAAGAAATAAAGTACTTGTTTTTTCTTGCTCTCGATTGTCGATGACAGTTAAGCCTAATTTTTTATAATACTAATAATAATGCATTTAATAATTTTTATTTAATCAAAATAATGCACCAAATAATATAGATGAAAACTTGACTTTCTATTTGTTATAGGTAAGATATAATTAAACGTAAGAAAGAACTATTAACAAATTATGAAAGAGAGGATGTGAGAGGTAGGTGTCGCAGGAGGGGTCTGTAACCAAACAATATTGATGAATATAAAAATTATGGTTTGTCTGAGCAATGATGATTTTATAGAGAGTAATTTACGTTTAATTTCATACTTTTCCGAGGGGTGGTGGATAAAATAGGGAAGATGACATGCTAAAAGAAAATGTGTCACATGGGTCACACTAGGGGGGAAATTCAGGATTTTTTAAAATATTGCCTGGTAGAAATAAGAACTTAAAACTTGTATTATATTAAAATATGGATTATTATCTAAGATTTTATGCTATTCTAATTGGTATTACATAAACAAAAAGTAGTTTAATAAAATTTTGAATGTAAGACACTAAAATTTTGTGACATGCGCAGTAAAGGATACCCATGATGATAGGGTTAATAATAAAATAGGAAACAAAACTTTTGAATTGTGAATATTTTTCTAAAATCCAGTACTCATGTTTTATGAAAGGCATTCTTCACAGAATACGTAATTAATACAAGTATCTTACAAAAAGCAACTGATAACAAAATAAAATGTACTCATGTTTTATGAAAGGCACCCTTCACAGAATACATAATTAATACAAGTATCTTACAAAAAACAACTGATAACACAGCAAAATAAAATGTACTCATCCATCAATCCAGTTATCTATTAATCTTGGTATTCATAAAAATATTCTGCTGGATAAATGAATTTTTTTTTTATTTAAATATGAAAGAGATATAACTACAATGCCTTTGAAAAGAAAGAATTGCAGATTTTCAGCTATATAGTTGTAATGAAAACTATTACAGTTTGGTATATGAAAACCTAGGTATCAATAAGAAACTCTTACTCTGACAGAAACAGTTTTAAATCAGTAAGAAAAACTGTAGATTAGATACACTCATAAGGTAAGCAGATCTTGCAACCTATGTCACAGTTACAAGATATTTTTAATAATTATCTATAAAACTTACTGCACACCAAACTAGACTGAAAGTGACGTTAATGCAAGATGACAAAATCTTAAAATTATTATTATTAAATATTGAACATCAATACTTTTATACTTTGTGAACAAACGAAAGAAGACCTGGAAGATAGATTTATAAGCGTGAAGACATCCAAACTTGCTGACTCAACTAGCTACAATATTTTTTGTTTTAGTGATTTTTTTTCTGTAATACTCTGATTTTGACACAAAATTTCCAAAACTGGGAGGAAAAATTTGAAATATTAAAGTGTTAGGTACTGATTGTTGTAAGTAGTTTGTATGATAATATCACACTGATATGTTTAATAATTATAACCTGGCTCTCAGGTAAGTGACAGGTGTTTGGCTTGTAAACAACAACAACATAATAATTTCCCAATTTTCATTTAAATTAGATTTATTTTTCAAATGAACTAGAGAACGGATGTACCGTGATACCAATCCCTGGATCATTTTCTAAAATACAGAATTCATCATCAGCACCATTGGCTTCCTCTTCTTCACACCTATCATCATCAGCTGCTTCTGTTTCATCTTGAAAATGATCCAAATTCACATCTACCACAATTCCTGTACCAGAATCTGCAAGTTTTTTCCCCTTACTTCTGGTTCCGTCATTACTTACAGGACTAGTTGGAGATTCTTCTCCTACTAAATTAAAACATATGAACCACAAATTTGTATATCAATTACACTGTTAAGAATAGCAGAAAAAACGTCTAAATAGAAAATGTAAAATGGCTAAATTTTAGTGTATCAACAATACATAATATAGTAAAACTTTCACATATTGAGATGTCTTCTTTAGGGCAAGTGGTAAATAGCTAGTAACTCATTATATCTAGCTTAAAATAACAGGTGAAAAATGTAGGAAAAACTCCAACATAGTCACGTACATTCTGTAGTTGTTAGAAACATGAATGATCACGAAAATAACACTTTTAATATTTCATAATTGTAGTAGTTGTACATAGTCAATTCTATTTAAAATTAATAATAAGGTTTTTTAAATTAAAAAGAATAATTTCTATAAAAATAAAATTCATTTAAAGTCCTAACAAATTATCTACAAATCCATAATTGTGTGGTTAAAAAAAGGCTCTTCAGCACAGACAATGGTTCTACGGTTATTAAGATTAGAAAATAAATACAAAGTAGAGAGTGTAAAGAAACAAGCTGTATTATTTTGTTGGTAGACAAATCCAGTAAATAAGTATGCATAACCTTAGAAAGATAATTTTTCCAATTTCATTTTAATACCAAGCACATAATTCTACACTATATCAATAACACTTTCAATGTTTACCTGAACTGCAGATGGAGCCACTGGACTCTTCCATTGCTTCTGCCATCAAATCATGAACTTTTTCAGCTTGGGTTTTAGTTACATTATTAGGACTTTCTGTGGAAGGCTTGGTAAACAGTATTGGGACCTGTAAAAATCAATGTTACCACAAAAACTGCAGCAAAACTAAATATTTGCAAAGTGTTTATAGTAATATTTACTGAAGTAAAAAATTACTACATTAAATAATGTTTAGTTTCAAATGTTTGTTTCTTCAAATTACTTGTTATTTCACAAAATGAAAGCAAAGAATGCTTAACCAATAACTCTTCCAAAATTACTCTTACAAGATTTAAGTTATTTTCTCCATTAACTTTAGATACTGCACATGAACAAAAGAGAAAGCATCATCTAATTTACACAAAAATGTTTATAATTTTCTAAAGTGAAAGATCAATACAAAATAAAGTGACACAATCGACCACCATAGGTACATCAGGTTGATCATAATTATCAATACTATCTAAAGTGTCCTGTTTATTTAGCACTTCATTCCACAAAAGAATACTCAAATGTTGTAGTTTAACAGCAGTTGGAAGTACACAAGCATTCTACCTGAACTTTTCTCTATATGGAGGTTGGTTCTCTAAACCAGAGATTCTCAAAATGTGGTACACGTACCACTGGTGGTACGTGGAGCTAATGTCGGTGGTACATGACACAATTAATAGAAAAAATCATAAAATTTGTAATATGCCCTATCTGAGCTTTCCACGTACATATAATACTACTCTCCTCACCCTCTACTTGCATAGACTCTCCAGTATTTTCTTCCCTTCAAATTGACAACAATGGTACTACATATTTTTCAATCGTGCCAGAAAAAAAACAATCACATCCTTTCCATTAATGGTTATGTGTTTAAAATATGAATTTTTGTTACTAGGTTTTTTATCTTTTTTAAAAATTAGGCCTGGGTTTGTAATTTTTAAAAAGTTAAACAAAAAAGTGGTACGTGAACTTGAAATGATTGAAAACCACTGCTCTAAACCGCACGTACAGTTTCAGTTGTTCTAGTCAATGCCCCAAGTTTAGTTCTTCATTCTTTACTCTTTTTGTTGCTATGAAAAGCTAAGAGATCTGTAAACTCATTTTGTTATAACTGTGAATTAATTATTTAACTAGCTACAAGTCTTTTGTACTTTTATTATATTTTTTTAGCAGTCATGTTATTATACTGGTACACTATAACTTGTTGTTTTCACATGAAATATAATACTTGTTTTCAGTAATAACTACAAATGGCACGTAAAAAAATACTTTGCTTCAGTTCACTGACTTTTGAAGAATCACTTTTATAAGTTGAAGAGAAAGAAAATAATTTAACCTTAAATTAAATTCCTTTCACTCAACCATATGTAAAATAAGATGGTCATGAGGGTTTCACTGAATTCTATTGAATGTAGGTAGTTTTACATAATAAAAAACAAATGTTTATCCACAAGTTTTGTCCTTAGAGAATTAAACATTAATATTTCAGTTGTATGAAAAATATGAAGATTTTGTTTGAATTTTTTTAAAATAAAAGCATTAAAAGGTAATTTATTAACATATATGTGCTACTAGTTATCTATTCAAAGGCCATTCACTGCTTCAAAAATGATATTGTAATATAATTGTGTTTGTTTCTCTGTTGTTAAACACAAAGCTACACAATGAGCTATAGATGCTGTGTCCACCACTGGTATCAAAACCCAATTTTTAGTATTATAAGAATTCAAACTTAAGGCTTAGCCTCGGGGGTGGGGGCATTTTAATATCAAATTTTAATTATTTACTAACTGTGTTAAATAAAAGCACTATGAGTGGAAAATCATAATAAAATAATTGTTATTGATTTCAGCAAATTTGTGACATAACCTTTTTGTAGCTGCTGGTGACATTTTTATTATTAATGACACTGGAATTGTGTTATGTCTCTTTGAAAGCTACAGAAATATTTTTCTACATTAAAAACTCATGTGAGAATATTTAAAGATAGCAAGTACATAGGCCTAGAGTTGCACAATGAAACTGGTTATAAATCATTATTGATCATGCAGACCTTATGTATTTCTATGGGTTATGAAGTGCTTTGGTGGGCAACAAAAACAATACAAAAAACATAAGAAAGACAAAGATATATGTGAAAGAATATAAAATAAGTTAAACTTGATTGTGTATATAAAATGGAACTTTCTGGTCAATAATAGAAATCATTCAAGTTTTACTTATTTCTTCCATCTTTTTTGAGTATCTTAAACTGTGTAGGTCAATAGTCAAATGTAAATTTTCATACATTTTGTAGTTGTTATTTTGAATAAAAAAAAATGGCAAAAATTATAGTTTTATTGAAAGAAAAACTTTATTGGATATATTTCTCAGATTTTAGAAGAATAACATAAAACTGGAAAGTAAGACAAAAGGACTATATTTAGAAGATAAAATATTTTACAAAGACTACATCAAATCATATGATTTTTTATAAACAGGTATCTTATTTTTTATATTATAATAAATAATTAAAAACAATGTTTTATATTTACACAATAAAAACTTTATAAATATAAATTTTATAAACAGGTATCTTATTTTTTAAATTATAATAAATAATTAAAAACAATGTTTTATATTTACACAATAAAAACTTTATTGAAGCCGTAGGGCTTCCACTTTAGAATAGAAATATCACTCTACACCTACATATTTCGACATGATCTACATCATCCTCAGGATCACGTCGAAACATGTACGTGTAGAGTGATATTTCTATTCTAAAGTGGAAGACGTACGGTTTCAATAAAGTTTTTATTGTGTAAATATAAAATGCTGTTTTTAATTATTTATTATGAATTAAAAAATTTTAAACACAAGTGCTGGTAGTGCATAGGTATCTTATATTACTTAGAAAGTTTTTATCATATTAAATGAATTTGATTCAGTACTTAAATTCTATTAATATTTTCTATTTATTGTGTGCATTCATCACTGCACTCAGAAGTAGAAAAGATGTGTGATTTTTTTAAATAGAGTAAAAATTCTGGTTGTACCTTACATCTTCTTGATATCAATTTTATACAGGAAGTATCCCAAGTGTAAAAAGAGTTCATAAATTTTAACAAGAATACAAAAATCCTGAGAATCTTATTAGCTCCATCATATAAATAGTTTTTAAAATTATTATAAATATTACTTAAAACTGACCTCGCTAGATCTTGATGAGGAAACATCATCAGTAAGATCACCGTCACTAGCAAAGTATGTGAGCAGACTTTGAAGAGCTTGGCACGAATCTGCACAGGTTCTGATGTGAACAATGTTGTTTGATGCTCGAAGGTCTAGTCTTGGTTGAGGCTGGAGAGACGATTGCATTTTACATCTCACAAATAAACAATCAAAAGAAGAATAAAACACACTTCAATAAAAATATTTATTGTAAATGTAATTAAATATACAACTAATTAAAACTAAAGAAACAGTTCTCTAACCATTCAAATTGCAACAACTTTAATGAACATGCAGCAACTGAAAGGTAAAAAATGGAAATCTTCTAGTCTTATAACATTGTCTAAAAGATTTTCTATTGAAGAAAATTAATTTTAAAGATATTAAAAAAACATTATTATAATCCCGAGATGATTAGCTTACCATATCCATTCCGTCGGTCATTCTTAAAGACAGGTCAAACAATCCACTTTCAACCACACAAGTATAATCTAATAGAGAAATTTGTAAAAAAAAATAATAAATTAAAAGCAATTAAACACTGCTTGGACCAGAAGGCAACCGTGAAACAAAAGAACTACAATACAAAAATTAATATTCAATGATAGATAATTTAAAACACCTCCAAACAGTTTGGGTAACTTGAATATCTGATTAATTTATTCATATAATACCCAATACTAGTCAATATACCACATTATAACAATATAATATCTGCTATATGTGTGTTCAATCTCATAAAATTTTTCCTCATTAAATCCAAAACAAGTGTAAATATTAAGTGTGTATTCATTGATATTGTTCTAAATATGAATAATACTTTTGATGTGAATGTGCTTTATAGTCATTATAAGAAAATCCTATACACTGGAAAGGTGAAGTGAAGAAAATTTGTCATTGGCTACTACTCAGTTCTTCACATTATGTAGCCACACAATAGTAGATATAATAAACAAACTTAGTATCCTGAAAGTTATCTAATCTTGAATGTTTAAATTCAAGGGGGTCCAGTTCAATCTACACTTTGATCAAAGTGTGTTACTGGGTTATACAAGTTTTGGAAGAATTCCACTACTCATCAGTAACCATGAACACAAGTCAACCAATGAGAGATAAGTTCGATCTATATCATAGTGAAACGATCAAATATACTTTTTTGTGGTGAACGTGCTCTGTAGTCACTAAGAGGAAAAACTATACACTAGATAGGTGAAGGGAGAAAAAAGAGTCATTGGCCACTATTCAGTTCTTCACAGTTCAAGCACTAGGACTAAATGTCCCCCAAAACTACTATAATTAATCTAGCTTTCTAATTAATGTTTAAATAAGTTAAAAAAAATCCATTATTGCTCAGAGCAATGACTTTACTAACACACATCATGCTTTTCTTGCAATCTGTCACCAGTGACCACTGAAAAATAAGCAGTTGTCAGTTTTGCATACTTTAGAATATACTCTTTCTATTGGTTATAAACAAGTAATCATTTTTTTAAAGTACGTATGATGTAGGGATGGCAATGTTAAAAAGCACAGAAACAAGGTAGTACACAAAACTATACAAAAATAGTCAAATCTTTCCAAGAATAACTTTTATATACAACTAAGT